CTGAAGTCAGGCAGGTTGATTCCTCCAGTTCCATTCTTCTTTCTCAAGGTTACTTTGGCTACTCGAGGTATTTTGTATTTCCATACAAGTTGTGAAATTATTTGTTCTAGTTCTGTGAAAAATACTGTTGGTAGCCTGATAGGGATTGCATTGAATCTATAGATTACTTTGGGTAGTATACTCATTTTCACTATATTGATTCTTCCAATCCATGAATACGGTATATTTCTCCATTTATTTGTGTCCTCTTTGATTTCTTTCATCATTGTTTTATAGTTTTCTATATATAGGCTTTTTGTTTCTTTAGGTAGATATACTCCTAAGTATTTTATTCTTTTCATTGCAATGGTGAATGGTATTGTTTCCTTAATTTCTCTTTCTGTTTTCTCATTGTTGGTGTATAGGAATGCAAGGGAATTCTATGTGTTAATTTTATATCCTGCAACTTTACTATATTCATTGATTAGCTCTAGTAATTTTCTGGTGGTGTCTTTAGGGTTTTCTATGTAGAGGATCATGTCATCTGTAAACAGAGTTTTACTTCTTCTTTTCCTATCTGGATTCGTTTTATTTCTTTTTCTGCTCTGATTGCTGTGGCAAAAACTTCCAAAACTATGTTGAATAGTAGTGGTGAGAGTGGGCACCCTTGTCTTGTTCCTGACTTTAGGAGAAATGCTTTCAATTTTTCACCATTGAGGGTGATGTTTGCTGTGGGTTTGTCATATATAGCTTTTATTATGTTGAGGTATGTTCCTTCTATTCTTGCTTTCTGGAGAGTTTTTTTTTTTTATCATAAATAGATGTTGAATTTTCTCAAAGGCTTTTTCTGCATCTATTGAGATAATCATATGGTTTTTATCTTTCAATTTGTTAATGTTGTGTATTACATTTATTGATTTGTGGATATTAAAGAATCCTTGCATTCCTGGGATAAAGCCCACTTGGTCATGATGTATGATCTTTTTAATATGTTGTTGGATTCTGTTTGCTAGAATTTTGTTAAGGATTTTTGCATCTATGTTCATCAGTGATTTTCGTCTGTAGTTTTCTTTTTTTGTGGCATCTTTGTCAGGTTTTGGTATTAGGGTGATGGTGGCCTCATAGAATGAGTTTGGAAGTTTACCTTCCTCTGCAATTTTCTGGAAGAGTTTGAATAAGATGGGTGTTAGCTCTTCTCTAAATTTTTGGTAGAATTGAGCTGTGAACCCATCTGGTCCTGGGCTTTTGTTTGCTGGAAGATACCTGATTATAGTTTCGATTTCCATGCTTGTGATGGGTCTGTTAAGATCTTCTATTTCTTCCTGGTTCAGTTTTGGAAAGTTATACTTTTCTAAGAATTTGTCCATTTCTTCCAAGCTGACCATTTTATTGGCATATAGCTGCTGGTAGTAGTCTATTATGATCCTTTTATTTCAATGTTGTCTGTTATGATCTCTCCATTTTCATTTCTAATTTTGTTGATCTGTTTCTCCTCCCTTTGTTTCTTGATGAGTCTAGCTAATGGTTTGCCAATTTTATTTATCTTTTCAAAAACCAGCTTTTAGCTTTGCTGATTTTTGCCATGGTCTCTTTTGTTTCTTTTGCATTTATTTCTGCCCTAATTTTTAAGATTTCTTTCCTTCTACTAACCCTGGGGTTCTTCATTTCTTCCTTCTCTAGTTGCTTTAGGTGTAGAGTTAGGTTATTTATTTGTCTTTTTTCTTGTTTCTTGAGGTAAGCCTGTATTGCTATGAACATTTCCCTTAGCACTGCTTTTATAGTGTCCCATAGGTTTTGGGTGGTTGTGTTTTCATTTTCATTCATTTCTATGCATATTTTGATTTCTTTTTTGATTTCTTCTATGATTTGTTGGTTATTCTGAAGCGTGCTATTTAGCCTCCATATGTTGGAATTTTTAATAGTTTTTTTTCCTGTAATTGAGATCGAATCTTACTGCATTGTGGTCAGAAAAGATGACTGGAATTATTTCAATTTTTTTTAATTTCCAAAGGCTAGATTTATGGCCCAGGATGTGATCTATTCTGGAGAACGTTCCGTGTGCACTTGAGAAAAAGGTGAAATTGATTGTTTTGGGGTGAAATGTCCTATAGATATCAATTAGGCCTAGCTGGTCCATTGTGTCATTTAAAGTTTGTGTTTCCTTGTTAATTTTCTATTTAGTTGATCTATCCATAGTTGTGAGTGGGGTATTAAAGTCTCCCACTATTATTGTGTTATTGTTGATCTTCCCCTTCATTCTTGTTAGCATCTGTCTTAAATATTGCGGAGCTCCTATGTTGCATGCATATATATTTATAATTGTTATATCTTCTTCTTGGGTTGTTCTTTGGTCATTATGTAGTGTCCTTCTTTGTCTCTTAGTCTATTTTATCTGATATGAGTATTGCGACTCCGGCTTTCTTTTGGTCTCTGTTTGTGTGAAATATTTTTTTCCAGCCCTTCACTTTCAGTCTGTATGTGTACCTTGTTTTGAGGTGGTTCTCTTGTAGACAGCATATATAGGGGTTTGCTTTTGTATCCATTCAGCCAGTCTTTGTCTTTTGATTGGGGTATTCAACCCATTTACATTTAATGTAATTATTGATAAGTATTGTCCCATTGCCATTTACTTTGTTGTTTTCAGTTTGTGTTTATACACCCCTTCTGAGTTTCCTGTCTAGAGAAGATCCTTTAGCATTTGTTGAAGAGCTGGTTTGGTGGTGCTGAATTCTCTCAGCTTTTGCTTGTCTGTAAAGCTTTTGAATTCTCCTTCATATCTGAATGAGATCCTTGCTGGGTACAGTAATCTGGGTTGTAGGTTATTCTCTTTCATTACTTTAAGTATGTCATGCCATTCTCTTGTGTCCTGAAGAGTTTCTATTGAAGGATCAGCTGTTATCCTTATGGGAATCCCTTTGTGTGTTATTTGTTGTTTCTCCCTTGCTGCTTTTAATATTTGTTCTTTGTTTTTGATCTTTGTTAATTTGATTAATATGTGCCTTGGGGTGTTTTGCCTTGGGTTTATCCTGTTTGGGACTGTCTGGGTTTCTTGGACTGGTGTGACTATTTCCTTCCCCATTTTGTGGAAGTTTTCAGTTATTAATCTCCTCAAGTATTTTCTTATGGCCTTTCTTTTTGTCTTCTTCTTCTGGGACTCCTATGATTCAAACGTTGGGGCGTTTCACATTGTCCCAGAGGTCCCTGAGGTTATCCTTGTTTCTTTTGATTCTTTTTTTTTCTTTTGTTCCCTCTGTGCTTCATTTATTTCCACCATTTTATCTTCTACCTCACTTATCCTATCTTCTGCCTCAGTTATTCTACTGTTTGTTCCCTCCAGAGTGTTTTTCATCTCATTTATTACTTTATTCATTTTTAATTTACTCTTTTTTATTTGTTCTAGGTCCTTGTTAAACATTTCTTGCATCTTCTCAATTCTTGTCTCCAGACTATTTATCTGTAACTGCATTTGGTTTTCAAAATTTTGGATCATTTTTATTATCATTATTCTAAATTCTTTTTCAGGTAGATTCCCTATCTCCTCCTCTTTTGTTTGGCTTGGTGGCATTTTTCGTGATCCTTTACCTGCTGGGCATTTCTCTGCCTTTTCGTCTTATTTAGATTGCTATGTTTGGGGTGGCCTTCTGTGTTCTGGCAGTCTGTGGTTCCTTTTTATTGTGGAGGTTTCTCCCAGTGGGTGGGTTTGGATGATTGGCTTCTTAAGGTTTCCTGGTTAGGGAAGCTTGTGTCAGTGTTCTGCTGAGTGGAGCTGGATTTCTTCTCTCTGGAGGTCTATGGAGTATCCAGTAATGAGTTTTGATATGGGTTTATGGGTTTGGTGTGACTTTGGTCAGCCTGTATATTGATGCTCAGGGCTGTGTTCCTGCATTGCTGCAGAATTTGCATGGTATGTCTTGCTCTGGAACTTATTGGCTCGTAGGTGGTGGTTGGTTTCAGTGTAGGTATGGAGGCTTTTGAAGGGTCTCTTATTACTTAATGTTCCCTGTAGTCAGGAGTTCTCTGGTGTTCTCAGGTTTGGGGCTTAAGCCTCCTGCCTCTGGATTTCAGTCTTATTCTTCCAGTAGCCTCAAGACTTCTGCTTCCATATAGCACTGATAATAAAACTTCTAGGTTAGTGGTGAAAAGATTCTCCACAGTGAGGGACACCCAGAGAGGTTCACAGTTACATGAAGAAGAGGAGTGGGAGGAAGGAGACAGAGGTGAGCAGGAGGAGAAAAGGGGGAACTCAGGAGGAGAGAGACAGATCTAGGCAGTACTCTGTTCCCTAAGTGTTCTCTGCAGCCCAGAACACGCACAAAAATTCACAGAATTGGACTGAGAAGAGAAGGGGCAGAGAGGAAATAGAGGTGATCTGGGGGAGAAAAGGGAGAGTCAAAAGGGGGAGAGAGTGATCAAACCAGTAATCACACTCCTGAGTACAAATGGGTACTGAAGATTGGATTCTTAAATGTCCAAAATTGATATCAAATACTGAAAAACAAAGATTAAAAGTCTAGAGTAGAGGTTAGACTCTTAAAAATACAATATTAAAAAAATTTTTAAGAAATATATATGAAGTTCTCTTTTAAAATAGGGCCTTTTTTTTTGCAAGGTTATAGTGGGTTATAAAAATGAAAATTAAGGAGTAATAGAGGACTTTTTAAAAAAAGAAAAAATTTAATTAAAAAAAGAAAATAATAGTAAAAATATATTTAGGAATTTCTCTGGAGCTGTTGTGGGCAGTGTGGGTTCAGTTCAGTTTCAGATAGTTCCTTTTTCCAGCTTACAATTCTCAATATCTATAAGCCCCTTCCAGTGTAATTGGTGTTAATTACAGTGATTTTAATCTGTTTATTTTTAATCTTTGTTTGTTTGGCTTCTGTTTTGCAGGTCTCCTCAGTGTCTAATTTCTGCCCTGACACAAGTGGGCCGAGGTGGTCTCTTCTTTAGGTTCGCTTGTTCAGTCGTGCTGTGGGGAGGGAGAGGCACTGCAGACAAATGTCACTGGTGTGTGTGGGGAGCACTCACAGTGTTCCGGCCACACTGGGTTTGCCCCCACTCACGGCTTGTGTGCTTTCCCCGTCTACACTGCTCAGGCTCCAGGCTGCTCTCCAGGGAGTGGGCCCTGAGTTGCGTGCACTTCCCAGGCCTAAGCCACTCAGGTTCAGGTTCTTGGGTACCTCACAAAGGGGCAGACTTGGTTGGGCCTGCGTTTTGTGCCTTCTCCGTCCGAGAAGGTCAGAGAACCAGGAGCTTGACGAGCCCACTCTCTTCAGGTGCAGCACGACTTCTCCCCTCCCCGTCCCAGCCTCAGTTTCCATGAGCGCCAGGTCTAGTGTGCCTTGTGTCTCTTCTGGGGGAGATGATCTCTTTCTGTGACCCTCCCGGCAGATGTCAACCATCCAGAATCTCAGGAAGTCTTTGGTTAGAAAGCCTGTTTGCAGTTTGGTAGGGGACATCCTCTCTGGGGCCGAGTTTGCCCCTTTCCAGCCTGGTGCCCGCCTCTCCCCTGTCTCCTGCCTCCGGTGGGGGATGGACTGGCCCGCAGCTCTTCTCTGTCCTTTGTTCTGCCAACAGGCCAGCTGTGCTTTAGGTTAGGGCTTTTCACAGGTTTATTCTCTCTCTCTCTTGCTATCCCACAGTTTAAGTTGCTATCTCACGTTAGCTCCCTCTGATTGCCCTCAGGGCATTCAGGTCCAGTCCTTACCCTAAGCAATGCCGCCTGCTCCTCTCCATTCAGCCCCGACTTGCTGGTGGCGGATGTGGGCATCTGGGGTACTTTTCTGCTGGGAGTTGCTTTTAGGCTTGTTATCTGTGGGTTTTGTTTATTTTTCCTCCTGGTTAGGTTGCCCTCCGAGATTCGAAAACTTCCATCAGACCCGCTGGTGAGAGGGTTTCCTGGTGTTTGGAAACTTCCTCTATTAAGATTCCCTTCCCGGGATGGATCTCCGTCCCTAATTCTTTTGTCTCTCTTTTTATCTTTTATATTTTGTCCTACCTCCTTTCGAAGACAATGGGCTGCTTTTCTGGGTGCCTGATGTCCTCTGCTAGTGATCAGAGTTGTTTTGTGGAGTTTGCTCAGCATTCAAATGTTCTTTTGATGAATTTATGGGGGAGAAAGTGGTCTCCCTGTCCTATTCCTCTGCCATCTTAGCTCCTCCCTCTCATTCTGTTGCTTCTTGATGTGCATACAGATTTCTCAGGAGGCAGGTAAGGTGGCCTGGTATTCACATCCCTAAGAATTTTCCACAGTTTGCTGTGATCCACACACTCAAAGGCTTTGGCATAGTCAATAAAGCAGAAGTAGATGTTTTTCTGGAATTCTCTTGTTTTTTCTGTGATCCAACAGATGCTGGCAATTTATCTCTGGTTCCTCTGCCTTTTCTTAAGCCAGCTTGTGCTTCTGGAAGTTTTTGGTTCACATACTGTTGAAACCTATCTTGGACAATTTTGAGCATTACTTTGCTAGTGTGTGAAATGAGTGCAATTGTTGGAACATTCTTTGGCATTGCTTTTCTTTGGGATTGGAATGAAAACTGACCTTTTCCAGTGCTGTGGCCACTGCTTAGTTTTCCAAATTTGGTGGCATCTTAAGTGCAGCACTTTCACATCATCATCTTTTATGATTTGAAATGGCTCAGCTGGCCTATTATACAGATTGAAGTAAGCCAGAAAGAAAAACACCAATACAGTATACTAACGCATATATATGGAATTTAGAAAGACAGTAATGATAACTCTATATGCGAGACAGCAAAAGAGACACAGATGTTTTGAACAGTCTTTTGGACCCTGTGGGAGAGGGCGAGGGCCGAGGGCGGGATGATATGGGAGAATGGCATTGAAACATGTAAATTATCATATGTGAAACGAATCGCTAGTCCAGGTTTGATGCATGAGACAGGGTGCTCAGGGCTGGTGCACTGGGATGACCCAGAGGGATGGGATGGGGAGGGAGATGGGAGGGGGGCTCAGGATGGGGAACACATGTACACCCATGGCAGATTCAAGTAAATGTATGGCAAAACCAATACAAGGTTGTAAAGTAAAATAATTAATTAATTAATTAAAAAGTAAAAATAAAAATTTACTTAAATTTACCTAAATAATTTACCTAAAAAAAAAAAAATGAAATGTCTCAGATGGAATTCCATCATCTCCACTAACTTTGTACTTAGTGATGTTTCCTAAGGCCCACTTAACTTTGCATTCTGGAATGTCTGGCTCTAGGTGAGTGATCAGACCATTGTGATTATCTGGTCATTAAGATCTTTTTTCTATAGTTCTTTTGTGTTTTCTTGCCACCTCTTCTTAATATCTTCTGCTTCTGTTAGGTCCATACCATTTTTGTCCTTTATTGTGACCATCTTTGCATGAAATGTTCCCTTGGTATCTCTATTTTTCTTGAAGAGACCTCTCTTCTTTCCCATTCTATTGTTTTCCTCTATTTCTTTGCATTGATCACTGAGGAAGGCTTTCTTACCTCTCCTTGCTATTCTTTGGAACACTGCATTCAGATGGGTATATCTTTCCTTTTCTCCTTTGTCTTTCACTGCTCTTCTTTTCTCAGCTATTTGTTAGGCCTCCTCAGACAACCATTTTGCCTTTTTGCGTTTCTTTTTCTTGGGGATCATCTTGATTACTGCCTCCTGTTCAGTGTCACGAACCACTCCATAGTTCTTCAGGCACTCTGTATATATATAAAGTGAAAAAGTGAAAGTGTTAGTCACTCAGTCATGTCTAACTCTTTGTAACCGCCATGGACTGTAGCCTGCCAGGCTGCTCTGTCCATGGATTTTGCCAGGCAAGAATACTGGAATGGGTAGCCATTCCTTTCTCCCATGGATCTTCCTGACCCAGAGATTGAATCCAGGCTTCCTGCATTGCAGGCAGGCTCTTTACCATCTAAGCCACCAGGGAAACCATAGACACACACACACACACACACACACACACACAGAGGAATACAGCTCAGCCATAAAAAAATTTGCCATTTACGACAACATGGATGGACTTGGTTGGTATTACACTAAGTGAAACATATCAGAGAAAGAGAAATACTATATGATATCACTTATGTATGAAATAAAAAAGAATACAACAAACTTGTGAAAATAACAAAAAAGAAGCAGGCTCACAGATACAGAAAATGAAGTAGTAGTACCAGTGGGGAGATGGAAATGGGAGGGGCAAAATTGGGATAGGGAATTGAGGTTAAAAACTACTATGAATATAAAATATAAGCTACAAGGATATATTGTACAACAGGGAATATAGCCAATATTTTGTAATAAATAGAAATGTAGTGTAACCTTTAAAAACTGTGAATCACTTTATTCTACACTTAAAATTTATATAATATTGCACATCAACTCTGTTTGACAGAATTTACCTGGGAAGCCATTTGGACCTGGATTTTTGTTCTAGGGGACTTTTTCCATTACCGAGTCAATTTCTTTACTAGTAATCAGTTTATTCATTTTCTATTTATTTCTGATTCAGTATTGAAAGATTATATGTTTCTAGGAATTTGTCCATTTCTCCTAGGCTGTCTAATTTGTTGATATATAATTATTCATAGCATTCTCTTATCCTTTGTATTTCTGTGTTATTTTAATTTCTCCTCTTTCATTTCTGATTTATTTGGACACTTTTTTTTTTTTCTGGTGAGTCTGGCTAATGTTCTATCAATTTCATCTTTTCAAAGAACTAACTTTTAGTTTCATATATCTGTTCCATTGTGCGTTTTTTCTCCATTTCATTTACTTCTTCTCTGATCTTTATGATTTGCTTTATTCCACTAACTTTGAGGTTGGTTTATTTTTTCTAGCTTCTTTAAATATACATTTAGAGTTTTTGCTTCAGATTTTTCTTCTTATTTGAGGTGTACCTATATAACAATAAACTGCCCTCATAGAATTACTTTTGCCTCATCCCATGGGTCTTGGAAAGTTATGTTTCCATATTCATTTGTCTCAAGGTAATTTTTTATTTCCTCTTCGCTTTCTTCATTGATTGAGTGATTGTTTAGTAGTATGTTGCTTAGTTGGAGAAGGCAATGGCACTCTATTCCAGTATTTTTGCCTGGAAAATCCCACGGATGGAGGAGCCTGGTAGGCTGCAGTCCATGGGGTCGCTAAGAGTCGGACACAACTGAGCGACTTCACTTTCACTTTTTCACTTGCTTAGTGTCCACATGTTTGTGTATTTTCTAGTTTCCTTCTTGCAACTGAGTTCTAGTTTCATGCCATTGTGGTTGGAAAAGACACTTGACTTGATTTTCAAGTTTTTTATATTTATTGAGACTTGTTTTGTAGTCTAACCATGCAGTCTATCCTGGAGAGTATTCCTTGTGCACTTGAAAAGTGTGTTCTGCTGTTTTTGGATGGAGTTTTCTATATGTATCTATTAAGTCTATATAGTCTAATATGTTTTTTAAGGTCGTGTTTCCTTATTTATTTTCTTCCTGGGTGACCTATCCACTGATGTAAGTGGGGTATTAACATCCCCTGCTATTATTGGGTAGTTGTCTATTGCTCCATTTATTTCTGTTAATATTTGTTTTATCTGTTTAGGTGCTCCTATATTAGGTGCATAAATGTTTACAAATTTTATGTCCCCTTGTTGGATTAACCACTTTTTCATTCTGTAATGTCCTTCCTTGTATTTTATTACAGTCTTTGTTTTAAAGTCTATTTTGTGTGATAGATTATTGCTACCCCAGCTTTGTTTTCCATTTACATGTAACTTTTTTCCCATCCCTTCACTTTCAGTCTTTGTGTGTCTTTAGATATAAGATGTGCCTCTTATAGGCTGCATGTAGATAGGTCTCTGTTTCTGTTTTCTGTTTTTTTACTTACCTAGTCAGCCACCCTATATCTTTTGATTAGGGCAGTTGGTCCGTTGACATTTACAGTGATAATTGACTTCCCTGTTGGTCCAGTGGTTAAGACTGCCCCTCCAATGCAGGGGACAGGGTTTTGATCCATGACTGGGAAAGTTCCATGTGCTACATGATGTGGCCCAATAAATAAATAAATTAGATACAGTGATAATTAATAGATATGCACTTATTGCCATTTTGTTAATTCTTTTCATGGTGTTTTTTGTTGTTTTCTGTTCTTATCTTTTTTTGTCAGTTTCTTTCCTTCTACTTTGATGGATTCCTTAGTGCTATATTTGGATTCTTTTTTCGTTATTTTTTGTTATTCATTGTAGGTTTTTAGTTTGTGGTTATCATGAGGTTCATATATAATGACATTTATATATATCTATGTATTTAAGCTGATAGTCACTTAAGTTAAAAGTATTCTAAAAGCACTACACTTCTCCTCTCCCTAACACACACACACTTTTTATGTTTTTGGTGTCATATTTTTACCAGTCTTTATTTTGTGTATCTCTTAACTGCTTATTGTTATGTAAATAATCAGAAATTTTAATATTTGTTTATACATTTGCCTTTACCAGTGAGATTTTTCTTTCATATTCTTTCTTTTTTCTAGTTGTGACCTTTTTCTGCCAAAGATGACCTTTAACATTTTTTGGAAGGCCAGTTTAGTGGTAATGAGCACCTTTATTTTTTGCTTGTCTGGGAAACTATCTGTCCTTCAGTTATGAATGATAAACTTGCTGGATAGTGAGTTTTTTCCTTTCATCATTCTATATCCTGTTACCCCATTATGGCCTGTAAAGTTTCAGCTAAGAAATCAGCTGATAATCTTATGGTATTTCTCTTGTATGTGATTAGTTGTTGTTTTTCTCTGGCTTCTCTTAAGATTTTCCCATTAACTTTTGCCATTTTAATTATAACATATCTTGGTGTGAATCTCTTTGGGTTTATCTTTTTTGTGACTGTTTGTTCTTCCTGTACCTGGATGTGTTTCTTTCCCCAGGATAGGGAAGTTTTCAGCCATTATTTCATCAAATAGTTTTTTTTTTTTTTTCCCCCTTTCTCTCTTCTCCTTCCAGGACCCCTATAATGTTTATGCTGGTATGTCTGACATTATTCTAGAAGTCCTTTAAACTCATCTCATTTTAAAAATTTCTTCTTTTTGCTGTTCTGACTGTGTGAATTCCACTCTT